TGGACCCTTATGCAATCGTAGTTGTCGAGTCCGAGATTGTACCGGAACTGGAGTCTCATGATGATTTAGAGGCGTTTGAGCGTTTTGAGATTGCTGATGGATGCCTCGTAGCGAGGCGAATGGCGCTGAAGAAAAGGTTTCCAGACGTCCAAGTGAGGCTTTCCAACCCAGCTGAGTTTGAGTTTGAAGATGAGGACTGATATGGCCTACCTAAGCAGGATTCCATGTATTATTCATAGGTGTATTTGTTCGTTCCCTCTCACGGGAAGTTTGTATGCGATTGCTGGGGATATACAACATCTCTGTCACCCGTTTATAGTTTGCCGTGAACTGACAGATGTTGACGCATGGAGACAGTTCAAGCAGGACTAATGTGCTGAGCGAGGTGTGCATATAACAACAACATGGAACTGGATTTAAAGATAACGACATGAAATCTCCCTTTTTATTTCTCTCAAACTCATAGTCAACTTTGGAGCTCCGGGCACCATTTTCGTCATAGCAATCCGTCTCTTCCTCCCACAAACCGTTGTAACTATCATCCGCAAATCAAAAAACCGCCATCGACGGCGTTATAACGCCGTGTGCAGCGTCTGAATATCCATAAACTGCACTAAATCTCCGCGAAAGCCTTGGTCGGTCATTTTTAATCCATGAGCGCGCTGCCGAATACTTTCTATCCTCGCTTGCTGATCTAGCCACCAGCATCTCGAGATTCACACGTGACTAACGTCCTCGATATTTCTTTTTGTACTTTCACTGGGAGCTGCCCGCTCCGGAGAAGCTTAGGAAATTTGCAGAGAACGGAATCGACATAGATTTCGTCAGCATCGCCAACCGCAGGGCAAAATTTAGCTGTCAGCTCTGCGACTCCATTTTCGGGTTCCATCCATTGGACCCACAACACCGCGATGCGTTGCTCTTGCCCAGGAACAGGATTGGTCTTTTTCCGCTTCACTATCGCTCCAATCCAGAATCTCCGGAACTTGAGCTGGGTGACGTGCGGTCGGACCACGACAAGATCTCCCACATTGTACACCACGCCCGCGATCGGTATCTCATCCATGTCGAAGTCATGCTCCTCATCTTCAGAGCCTGGCTAGAGCGACTCTCCGCATCGCCCATCAGGCAGCCGTTCTCTCATGTATACTGCATCGCGTGTGTAATGCCCGTTCATCTCTGGACAAGTGCTTAGGTTCCAAGGGCATGGAACTTCGCCACCAAGTGTCAGTCTTGCGATGAGAGTTCTAAGAGCTTCCATGCTCGCCTGGGAACCGATCCGACGTTCAACTGCCTGAATGCGTCGCGTCATCCTGTGCGCGTCTTCTGTAGTGCTCTTCTTGCGTACAAGAGGAGGAATTGTCATTTTTCGTAGGTCCAAACTTAAGCCTGGGCGCAGAAACCCCCCCGGCAGCCCAGAAGACAGTAGAGACACGGAACTCTGCGAAATTGGCCAAAGCTTGACCTCACACGTAGAGGCACCTGCTGCGTCAACTGTGAATGAGAACTCGTGGTACACAGTAAATCCACTGAGCTCTGAGGACGGTCGAAGAAGCCTATTAACCTCGAACACAGCTTTCGTGTTGATAGTTGAGTCAATATGTGATATGATCGGCTGCGGAGTGAAGCTCTCCCCAAGCGCGGCATGTAATTCAGGAATAGTGCATATGTTCTTATCACGGATGCCTGCCCCAGTACTAGAAAACATCTGATCAATGTCCTCATGAGTGTGACCTTTAGGCAGATAACGTGCCACCACTTTTTTGAATACTCCTCGAACGACAAGCAGCTCAAAATACCCATGAGTGAACGAGTTTTTGTTCTCGCGGGTGCAGTTGTCGAGTTGAACAAAGAGCACGGGCGGTAATATGAGATCCAAGGCTTGTAATCGGTTACTCTCTGACGTAATAACTCTGTGAATCACCTCGACTACAAGGTTGGATCCAGTTAGATTGTAGTCCTCCGCAGTGAACAAAAATGCTCCGGCACCAGCTGACTTCCCTCCGTAGTTCAGTACACCAATGAGATGTATGGGAATACCCAGCCCAATTGAAGAAGCCTTCGATTTGCTCGCAAAATGTGGCAATGCGTACTTCACTTGATCAGCCCCGTCTACAATCAAGGAAATCGTCCTGTCAGGGCGGAGCTGCGCTTCGTCTCTTGTCGCGTAGTACATGGCACGACTTGCACGTACGAACTGGATATGCTCGGACCGTCTCCGCAGCGTATCCTCTCTTTGCTCCGCGGTCAGAGGTCCATCCAAATCTTCGTCAAACTCGACGCATGTATCACACCTAGCAAACCCGTGCAGTCGTCTCGTCTTGATCTCAGGTGCAACTTCCTTCCAGGTCCGCACAAAGTGCGTGTAACCGCATGGGAGGCGACCAAGCGCCCTCTTCTGTTCACAGTAGTCTTTCCATACCTCTATTTTGTTGCGTTGTGGGAGATGGAAAACATCGCGCTCCGGACTGTGGTCAGCGTCTCTAGATTTCACTCCGAGAAGATACGCAGCAACAAGGGTGTGCTTGCTGCCATCCAAAGATCTTGCGCGCCTATTTGCATACAGTGAAGACGGCGCATGCGGAGTACCAAGCACACTATTAAGTAAGTCCGGCGACGCTGTTGTTACACTGCGCATGTATGAACGACAGACTACGATCCCATGGTACTGAAAAACAGGCTTGTTCTTGCTGCTCGATCCACTATCAGAATCTCGGTCGTCAAGCGCATTTCGATCGGCCACGAGTCCGATGAGAAGTCGTTTCCGGTGAACTTGAGTTTTGCCGGCGCAAAAGGAACGACGGAGGCCCCTCGACTGCTGAAATGGAATGATCTGGCCATATCGCTGTGCGCAGCACTCCACCGGTGGTTTGTACGTCCCCGCTTCATTCGCAAGCGCATTACGCCTCATTGCAGTAGAGGACTTTGACTTGCTGATTGCATTGCGATTGCGAGAGCTTCTTCCGCGCCGCACAGAACCGCGTTGGGACTCTGAATCAGAGCTGGAGCGTGGCATGGGAACCGACGCCGAAGTCCGAATGCGGACCGCCGTGGAATACTGCTACGACAAGCAGCAGAAGCATGCGCCCCGCGTAGTGGCTGAGTAAGGTCCGGGGCATACCAGGCTTTCGCGCCTAATGTCAAGACCAATCTGCAGCCTTCGCTGGAATCTATCGAGAATAAGCCCTACAGCAATGATGCCGAGAGAAGGCTGGAAAAATCTTCGGCAGGGGAGCAATGCCCTGCCGATGCCGCCACCCCTTGCCCACGGCACGTCCCATTGGGCAATGCTCTCGCGCAGTGCAACGGCTGGCGTGCCAAGTGGTGTCGGCGGGCGAGGAGAGGCCGCTGCCCGTGCTGCACCGCGAAGGGCAGGACAGGGCGACATGATGGAGCACATGCTGCATGTGCCGGGCGGCGGAGACGCGGTGGCGAGGGATGGGGACCGCATGAAGGGGCTAGCACAGCCCAGGAAGAAGCTCCCGCGCATGATTGAGGGCGGGAGAAGGCCCTGGCCCTGCCGCTGCACGAGCTTGTCAGAGGCAAGCTGGAACGCGAGCAGGCGTGTAAGATCGCGTCGCAGAAGGTCAGCGCCAAGTGGGCGCGGGTAGTTGGCAAGGATTGCGAGAAGGAGGTGTTCAACTTTGCGAAGGGAACTGCAGAGACAGATAGGAGGAATATGAGCGCTGCCGAGGAGGGCTTCAAGATGTTTGAGGAGCGTGAGAAGGAAATCCAGATGATGCTTAGGAATGGGGGCGTGGGGAGCGATGTGCAGGTTGTGAGGAATGAGGAGAAGTTCTTCAAGATCAGCTGGAAGTCGCTGGAGTGTCCAAAGAGGAGCTTCTGGAGCTCCTCCTTGGACACTCCTGCGAATTAATGATGGAAAACTCTGACGACAGTGATTGTTAAAACTCTGGGTGTGCACAGCATGCGACAGAGAAGCAGCTTGATGCCAAGATAGAGAAAGTAAAGCATTCTCTGAATCAATAAGAGAAGGCAAGTTCGAGATAGAAGAAGCGAAAAGGAGTGATAGGAATGAACTTCATGCACATAGCGTCGCGCTGCGCGGCCGCCAGTTCGACGCCCGTGTCGCGCGCTGCGTACGCCACGTCCACCAGAAGCGGATCACGGCCGCCGAGTGCACCGGGCCGGCACCCACATCGGCACGGGAAACAAGGCCGGCATCATGGGCTTGTGAGGCGTCAGCGACGTCCGCCTCGGCGACTCCCTGCACGCGTGCTGCCAGCCGCAGCGCCGCCTACGTGCACTACTGCAACCTCACCACCTTTGCGTTCGTGCCCACAAGGGACGAGGTGTACAGTTGCGCGGCAGACAGTGTCGTGCATTGGCTCGCGCTGGAGCTGGTCGCGATCGCCGCACAGCAGGAGAAGCGGAACGAGGGCGTCAGAGGCGGGGAGGAGGTGCTCAAAATGAACTCAGAGGGATGGCATGGGCAGCGCAATTCTAAGATGGCGTACAGCTTGGCGGGCGACGGAAACGGGTTGTACATCGGTGATGGTGCCGGCTAATTGTGGCCCGTGGACTCGCAGGAGGCCGGCAAAAAGGGAGTGTGCTGGCGGTTGCATAGAGGCAAGGTGACGTGCGCGGGAGTCAACGTCGCGGGGGGAATCTGATGGCAACGGCGAACAATGACCGGCGGGTGTATGGGAGGCGTGGCAGATTGAGTGAGGCTCCGAGCTGGGGTGGTACTCTTCGTCACGGACTCCAAGTGCACGTTCCTGAGCTTGAGACTAACGAATATATAAAATATTTATCGGGTACCGTGATGGCGTGACAGTCACGGGGAGGGCTACAAGAGCACCAAGAGACCTCCCAGGGTCAAAATGCAAGCAGAAGACGCTAAGATACTTGCAGAACCCCTAAGGAGCTCCCATTACTTATTGTCTAGTGTCTTCAACGACTGCAGAATAGTTTTGTAACGTTTTAGTGGGCTTATAACATAACTAAAGAAAAGAACGTTCTTTGCACTAGAAACCGATCTACCGGAAACCCCTGTTATATTTGATTCGGAAAGAACCATCTCCTACTTGGTACCGAAGCGCGGAGACGTCGGAACGTCCCGCGTGCTCCCAAAGGTCAGGGAGATGTTCGGCATTACTTGGGTCTTCGAAGTCGATGAAGGGGCAATTCACGCCATGAGACGCCCTTTCGGTAACGTCCTGGCCGTTCTCTCGCCACATGCCCGCTGAACGGCGGGCGGCCCTAGTGGCGATAGCGCGGCGTGGTACCTTCCCGCTGGTGGAAGCCCTCGCCGTCTGCTTGGTTCGAGCCATAGTGCGCACAGGGAGTACCGCCCGAAGGACCACAGAGCTCCCGTGCGCGGCTCGAGACGCTGTGCGTTTCCGAGAAGTCTCGAAACGGGAACGACTGGAAACAGAGCCTCAGGCGACGCGCAGAGCACGCGGCCTGAGTTCCAGACGACGATTGACGTCAGCGACCACAGTCCCGGGCGACGCGGAGACCACGCGGCCCGAGGCTGACGCGAAGCTGACGTTGGGCAACCGGAATTCGGGCGACGCAGATGAAGCGCGGCTTGAAATTAACTGTTAGAAGTTCGACGGCGAGAGAGGCGCGAGGAGGCAGGGAGAGCGCAGTTCAGTGGCAAGGTGGAAAGACGGTGGCCGGAGGGGCCAGAGCGGTCACGCGAGGAAGCAGGGCCAGTATATTTACGTGCAGCGGCAGCCCCGTGGGCTACCCTGAGGAGGGGGTCATGTGAGATATTTTTAGGGAAATATTTGCATTTTACTGTAGAGGGAGATTTTATTCTGTAGTCCAAGATTTTATTTGAATTTTAGAGAAGCGCACGCGGACGGCCCGGCGGAATCCGGGCCAGATGCGTGGACGCTTCTGGAAGGAATTTCGTAGAAATAAAAGAGAGAGGGTGACGGGCGCTGCGGGGAAGGGGGGACGACACTCGGCCAACCCTCACCACGAACGGCACGCTCCCCAGAACCGCCTCCTCCATTTCACCGACAATAGTTCCGATCCCGATTCACAAAGTAGCAATGATTTCTCGACGCCGCTTGTTACAGCAACACCACCGAACTACTGCTGCCGTTCTACTCCACGTATCAATCCATTTGGGCAACAATTTTTCCTCGGCTGCTTTCAAATGGGACTCTCCCTCGATGCTCTGCACTCGATATGTGCGTCTTGCACACATTATGCTAACCATTCTCGCGTCCATCTATACCTTCGCTCACACCCCCCTTCTTTCACGTCATGCAGACCACCTCCCCCTCCGGTTTCTAACGCTGCCTTCTCCCTCCAAGCCCATTCCTTTCCACCCCTTCACCCCCCGCTTCTCTTCCGATCGCTGATCCCCCATTCGTCTTCTTCTTGGCCACAGTCCTCGTCTTCCTCTGCGTCCTTCACCTCTACGCCACCCGCCATCCACCACTGCCACTCCCCACGCCATATTTCGTTATGAAAAGAGGGCAAGTTCTGAGAAAAAACCACAGTCCCACAATGCGGCAAAGAGTAAGAAACAACTACAAAAATACTGTTTTTGCAGCCATTGCAGCTTTGGTATTGGAAGACGAATCTCTGAACTCTGTGGCAGCTACGATAAAGTTGAATCAAATTGCCTATTCGCCACTACACGGTCCTCGCCGGGTGAATATTGTGCGAAACAGAACCAACATTTCGTTCGAAGAAAGTACTGCCATTTACAGTGATAAAGAATTCGAGAGGGCTTTTAGGATGACAAGGTGTTCTTTCTACGAACTGCTAGAAAATTTAAGGGATGAGCTGAAGCGACGATACACGCGTACGACAATTAGGCCAGCAGCGCGCTTGGGCATAACGCTGAGCCTGCTTACGAGAGGGAGTTACCTCAACGAAATGCGACATTACGGCATCGGAAGGCCTACTGTTTACGAAATTTTCAAGGATACACGACAGTTCATTTTGCGCAAATTGCGGTTCCCAAATCCTCTACAAAGTGATGAAGAACTACAGCTCCTTGCCGATGAGTTCAAGTCTTCAAGGAGGACAATCAGTCCTTTAACAGGCTGCATTGGCGCTTTGGATGGAATTTGTATGAAGATCAAACAATCTGAATTTCGCCGTGGCCCTGCAAGGGTTTTACTGCAGAAAAGGTTACTACTCTGTTCCTGTACAAGCGCTTGTCGATTCGCGGTATCGTTTTTTAATGGTTTGTGCTATGTGCAAGGGGTCGACCCACGATTCCTTGGCGCATTCGGTTTCATCGTTGGGAAGATACTTGGCTGCTAGTCTACTGAATAAAGACTACTGGGTGGCGGGCGATGAAGCGTACAGTTGCGACGAAAGTTTACTAACTCCTTTTTCTGCTTCTATGATTCGTGGTCACCCGTATCGCGATGCGTATAATTTTTCAGTCTTCTTCACGTATACATGTTGAACAAGCCTTCGGAATCCTTGTAAGTGGAGAATTCTGCATCAGTTGGAATATTCGTTGGAGGTTTGTATTGAAATCGTTATGGTCACGATGATATTGCACAATTACTGCATTGCCCGCAACGGTCGCCCACACAGGATTAATAATTATTGCTCTAATTCTTTAGACATATTACAAGAAGAGACGAGCGACTGGTACAGGATTGCGAAAGAAGACAACCTTGAGATGGTTGACATGGTGCGAGATTCTCTAGAGGCAGACTTGACGCGAGGTTCGTCGAAGAAAAGAGAGAAAATGGTTGCATTTCTGGAGAAACGAGGTATTCTTCGTCCTTAGATTTCTTTTGAGTGCTTCTACAAGCATAGGAGCCGTCCATATTGGGCGGGGTGGTGGTGGGATAAACTGAGCATTTGATATGCGCAAGTACATAATTTCTGCGCGTCTATCCCTACCTTCGCTCACTCCCTCCTTCCTTCACGTCATGCGGTCCACCTCCCCCTCCTAATTCCTCCTCCCTCCAACCCCATTTCCTTCCAACCCTCCACCCTGCTTCTCCTCCGAACGCTGATCCCCCATTCGTCTTTTTCTTCGCCACCCTCGTCGTCCTCTTCTGCCTCCTTAACCCCTACACCGCCCGCCACCGCCACTCCCACACCATGCCTTACCCTCCTCTTTTTCCTCCGCTCTCCCGCTGGTCCCGCCCTCCACCGCCATACGCGCCACGCTCACCTCCCTCCACGACCAAGCCCTTTCCTACCCGTCTACCTGCTCCACTTCTCCCCGCTCCCGCCCATCTCCGACGCAAAATTCACCCTCATCCACCACCAGCGCACCACACTGTTCCCTCTTCCCACATCGCTCCTCTCGTGCTCTCCCCCTGCCTGCACCTGCTCGCTGGCACGCATCTCTCTCGTCACGCGGTCTCCTGTCTCTCCGCTGCGCGGAGCCGATACGCCGAGCGCCCAGACGTGGCCGCCTTGTTCCTCTACCGCCCTCACCTCCGAGTGCGCACCTCATCCACCGCCCCGGACCACCTCGCCCACGGAGCGCCCGCTCTTCCCCTTCCCGCAGCCGGCCGCTGACGCCCTCCTGAGCCAACTCGCGCACCACACCTTTGCCTTCGTCCCCAAACACGCCCTGCACCCTCATTTTTGGCTCCTCTTCACCGAATGGCTCTCCCACCGCTGCTCCGACTGGTACATGTACCCAGCCGGCCCCGGCCTCGACCCTACCCCAGTCGGCCGTTCGGCCCTCTTGGAGTCCAACTGGATTCAAGCCCCGTGGAAAGTTCGGTTCTCCAAGTTCCTGCACGAGTACGAGGTCGCCGTTTGTAGCTGTAGGGGGTGTAGGGGCCCAGGGGGCGCGGGCGAGGCGTACAGTGGCGGTTTCGTCAATGTCAAGGAAAACGGCGGGCAGCAGAGCAAGGGCGACGTCGGACCGCGCGTGACTGTCGGCCGTGGCCCGGTAAGAGGGGGCCCGTTTGCACCCCAGTCGGCCGTTCGGCCCTCTTGGAGTCCAACTGGATTCAAGCCCCGTGGAAAGTTCGGTTCTCCAAGTTCCTGCACGAGTACGAGGTCGCCGTTTGTAGCTGTAGGGGGTGTAGGGGCCCAGGGGGCGCGGGCGAGGCGTACAGTGGCGGTTTCGTCAATGTCAAGGAAAACGGCGGGCAGCAGAGCAAGGGCGACGTCGGACCGCGCGTGACTGTCGGCCGTGGCCCGGTAAGAGGAGGCCCGTTTGCAGTCCCACGGTGGACGCCTCAACCAAGCCCTCAGGCGGTATCCTCCGCCGCCACTGCCGTCGCTTGTAATTTTCCCACATAATTTCTTTCCACGCCCTCATTCCATCCTTCTCATGACGCGCAATCCTCCTTGCTCCCTCGTCCGCCGCCTTCTATCTTTTCGCAATTCCTGGCCTCTTTTCCTCCACTCCCCTCCATCCCTCACATACCTCCTTCCTGCCCAGTCTCCCTGTTTCCAGCCGCCTTCACGCCTCAATCCCAAACAACCCCATATGTCTGCGTGAGCATGCGGGAGCCCGCTTCGCCGCAGGGGCTACCGTAGACGCGGTGCCATTGAACGAAGCGAACATGTGTTCTACCTCCAGGACGCCTGCGCAGGCTCGCAGTGGAGGGAAGGGTCGCTAACCGAGGCGAAGGCGAGTTCGAGATCTCACAAACGGACGCTGCCCTTTACTCTCACTATCTTCCATTACGCATGCACCCGCGGCAAGTTCTCCACGTCTGTTCTTGGATCCCACCAAATTACGGCGCGTCCGTGCGTGCGTCTCCTCCGCAGCTTATTCGGGGCGGCGGCAAGTGCCACAAAAGCCGAGGCAATTCCTGCGCTTACAGTGGACGATGATACAGGTCTCCCAGGCGTCTAGGTCGCGGCGGCAGAGCTTGGCGCCGCCGCCGCGACCGGCGCACGGGCCGCGGAGCACCTCCTGGCGCACGCACTCGGGAACGTCCAGCCGGAGCATCCTCTCCGCGAACGGGACGCACAGGAGCAAGGCAGCAACGAGGAGGAAGACAGACTTAACCATGGTGAGGGCTGAGATGAGGCGAAGGTGCTACTGAGGTTGAATACGGCTGGAGACTGCTGGAAACTGCTGAAGATAGGCTATGTATGAAGGTGGGGGTTGGAGCGAGGTTCGCGAGTGTCCCTATCGCTGTTTATCGCACACGTCCGGTCGCCTTCTTGGCGTCGTAGGCCGGCTTAAAGCAAGCTTGTGCACGTTTAAGCGGCTAGTGGTGCACGCCAGTTTTCAGCAACCGTGGTGTATGGGAATCCGAAAGACAGAAGCACTTGCGATGTTGAATTTTTGCGAGCGTGTTTGAGCCAAACCTGCGTAGACTGTTCCCGAAAAGCGTCCTTACCAGCTGGGGCATGCCAA